GATATTTCAGTATGTCACCGTAGGTTTGAGGTATGTGTGAATGGCATTCTTCGCAGTTTTCTGCCATTTTAGTCTGCACAACTAATTGAGAACTTCAGGTTAATTAAAAATCAATCAATCAATCAATCAAACTTTATTTATATAGCGCCTTTCATACATCAAAAATGCAACCCCAAAGCGCAAAAATGAAAATAACTGTTGATTGCAGCCCTAATTTAGACCGTGATATAGGGTGATAAAATATACAGAAAATTTAATTGGATGGGTAAATTAATAAATGGAATGCAGAGCTTTGGTGTCGTTATTAAATACTCAGAAAATTGCAGTTTGGTTGGTGAGTTCAAACATCCCGAGAGAGGTGTTAAGCATTTCTAAAATCTAAGCTACACCCCTGAATGTAGGGTGACGGCTGCATCTACCAAATAGAAAGATATACTTAATTAATCGAGGGGAAATTCAGCATTTTCACTCTGTTGCCATATACACACAGGCCCAAAATACACATGTAACAGGGTCAATTATACTGCAGTAATATGTGTGACAAGTCGAATGTACATTTGTAATGTTAAGTAGTACAAAATTTGGTTCAGTTGTTATTACCTGACACATTTAGGCCTCCATACACAATATGTGGAACGTTTGATACCCAGTTTCTGTACCCCTACGTTCACCTTTGGGGGTACCCCACCTATAAAGGGGTGTCTCCCGCCTTGCCTCTCCCCTTTTGCTGTTGTGCGTCATGGGAGAGGTAAGCGACATTGCTCTTGTGGTAATTTCCATGTGTTTGCACTGTTAAGCTATGATAACTTCATTTTATGCTAACGTAATCTTGCGTCGCTTGATTTGTGTAGGGGCTGGAGTTTGTATGGTTGTGTATGACGGAAGATTTTTGTTTTTGCCACCTGTTGTCAGGAATAAACTGAGATTGCCTCAGAAGGTATCCACGTGCTGGGCATCTTTATATCAACATGACGCAGACAACAGTAGAGTCCACCGGTTCCACACACAACCTATACATGGATTAAATGGAGGAAAGTCAGAGCGTTGGGGATGCCCATTGACAGGTGCCCTGAGCAGTTGGGGGTTGGGTGTCTTGGTCAAGGGTACCTCGTGCCCAGGAGGCGAACTGGCACCTCTCCAGCTACCAGTCCACGCTCCATATTTGGTCCAGGCAGGGACTTGTGGCGGGCGACCCTGTGGTTCCCAGTCCAAGTCCCTATGGACTGAGCTACTGCCGCCCCATAAAATCAAATGATAAAAAGGCAAAAATCTGCACAGGGACCAATAGTTGGTGAAAAGAAGCCTGGGTGACATTTTGATCCAAACATTTATGTAGTCAATTTTTTTTTTTTTTTTTTTTTTTTTTAAATTTTTATATATTTTATACAAATTGGTCTTATTTTAAATTTTGCCATGCTAGGACACACCACATACAGACTACCATTGCCACTTATTCAAAACTCACAGTTGAAGCATCTGAGATAGGCTGCATACAAATTATTATTTTTCCATTTAATCTGCTGCATATCATGTCAGTTTCAGGTAAATAAGACAGCCTTGAAACCAAATAGGTATCCTCACCTCACAAAGGCCTTTGGAAACCACAACATTATGCTACCTGTTCGACTGAGCCTTGAAAACTTAAATCTTGTCTTCACATGCGCGTGGCATTCACAATTACTGAAAATGCTGCTCCCGCACCATTGAGGAGCTTTCTTCAGCTCCACTCTGAGGGAAAAAAAAGATTCAAGGTCAGTGTCAAGAGGAGAGCGAGGAATCCTGAGAAATGGCGTCTTTGCATAGCCTGTCTTTTCATTTACGGCTATTGTTAAACAAGACTACCTTATAATTTGAAAATGTGGTGTTTTGTTCGTACACCAGTAATGGACCTTGAAACATAACTGGATTTATTATGCATCAGTTATTGCATTCTGTAGTGTTTGTGTTTACATGCTCGCTGACTGGATTTACCTGTTGGAGCGGGCCTGGGGCAAAAATTTGATGAGCTTCTATGATGACCAAAACTGAGTGGTAAACATTTTTGGGACAACAGTAGTCCTCTGGAAGACTGTAGGTCTGCTTTCCCTTTTTTCTGTGCACACTTTCTGTCTGATTAATACGGCTGCTTTTTCTATTTTCAATTAACCCAAACGTCACAGATTAAAAACACATAAATGTGCTAAATTGTTGTACTGGGTTACATTATTTAGCATCCCGATAAACATGGGCACTGTGGTTTATTTTAAGTCAAACCCCTTTAGACGTCCTGCTGCCATAAATACTCTAAATGTGTATTACTCCACAGCTTAAAATAGTCCCCCATAGATGCACTATTTACTCTTGTTTGAGTACCGTTTGATAAAAACTACAATGCCCAGGTTTTTGACTGAGCCTTTTTAAAATTAAAATTATATTTGGGACCTGTTTTTAAACATTAATTTCCTCAGTAGGAGCAAATGGGCTGAGTGCCACAGCCAGAGAAGGGAAGTTGGAAGATCCTGAAAGATGAACACACTGTTGGTTTTTAGTCTCATGTGGGATTTGTTGACAACAGACAAAGTATAGAATAACACCAGACTTTTTGAGGCTGCTGCTCATGAGCTGCATCTTAAATCTATGTTTAATATTAAGGTTTGATTAACGTTAGTATTTCACATTTTGCATCAGCTCAAATGCCACTCTTTTATCTGTGCTGCAAAAAAAAAACAACAGAAAAGGCAATTCGACACATTATTGCAGGCCTGTAAAGCTCCAGCTCAATACCAACAGCCTAGAGCAAAACTAGCTAATTAAAACATTTGATGTAAAAGGCTACACAAGAACTTCCAGTCAATTATTTATACTTTTAAGACATCATTCATGCAGGCTGTAATCTCCCCCATTAACCTTCCCCAGCCTTGTATTTACTGTAAGCGGCGGGTGAGCCGAGTTTAGGAGGGGTTATACCCTCCACCACAATCCCGCCTGTAAATACTGCTGGGGCTCTAATAAACAGCAGACGAGGCTCCCGGTGGAGGCAGCGACAAACACCAATCGGGGCCTCGCTATCGCTCCGAGGTGATCAGAGCTCCGGCTTGTTTTTCAGCGTCTGGGCTGCTGCTGCTGTCGCCTCTGTCTCTTCCTCTCTCTGTGCGTCACAGCTAGGTCATGGCCGGACTCCAACAATGGCTCCGGTTTCTCGAGCCACATGCACGTGCGCAAACACACACACACACACACACACACACACACACACACACACACACACACACACACACAGGCACCAGGAGCACACAAACACAGATCTGACAAATGATAGGGTGGCGAGGCGAGGCGAGCTAATAGTAGGCAGTGCGCCTGCCGACATGCCCGTGGGCCGCGGGTGTTAAATTGTATCCAATTACGACGCATGCGACGATATGAAGGGGGGGGGATAATAATTCTTCTTGCGTGACAGGGAGATTCGCTTATTTTCAGGGCTCTTTATATAGAGGGGGGTGCGGGGCTGGAGACGTTCAAGCGTCTGCGGGAGGACTGTGTAGGTGCGTGGAGGAAAAAGTCTGGTTTTTCTGGAGGACACAGCGCGCACATTTCATTAATCAAAATCCAGTTAACCAGATTTGGAGACACGGCAGGGGGCAGTAGGGTCCGACCAATAATTAATATCCATTATTTAAGCAGCCCGGACGCACGCGCACACACACACGGACGCTTCACAGGAGTTAGGGAAGAGGCACGAGGGAATGAAGGATTGCATCAATGTGAAAATGAAATAAACACGCCCAGTCTCAGCTTTGTTATGAAATGTCTCTCCTGCTCATTTATTTGATGGAGTGCACAGTCAAGTAAAACCAGCAACAGTGCCAAAAGAGGGGTAGGGGCACAGCGCATGTGTGTGTGTGTGTGTGTGATACAGTGGTGGGGCTCTGTAAACCTCAAACTGAAGTTGCACTCTGGTGTCACTGACGCCCAGCAGAAAAGTTCAACAACTCAAGGGTAAAAAGGGTCAAGTGTCGGTTCATTAGTTCAACTTGTCAGAGAGGCAGCTGACAGGCAGCAGCTCGCACCAACAGCGATGAAACAACCTCAATGTGTGGACAAACCAAATGGGGCTGAGGTTGAATATAAAGTGACTCTATTATCCTGCCAATCACACCTCAGCTTTGTCCCCTCGGCACCTCTGACAAGGGCCGTGAGGTGATGAACCATCAAAGGCTGTCGCTGTGTGGTGTGTGTGTGTCATCGTTTGCGACCTGTTTTGACAGACACCTTCGGCCCTGTCTACACGTATACAGATATTTTTGATAATGTATATTTTCCTCCATGATTTTGGCCTGTTGTCCACTCACAAACTGAGTTAAGGTCCTTAAAACTGAGACTCTGTAAATGTCTTCTAGATGCAGATTTTTCAGAACTCTGGTTACTGTGTATCTGCCTGGATGATGACATCATCTCCTAAATTCGCACATATGTCAATTGTTGCTTTGTCTAAGGAAGCGACACAAAGAGCCCGGTCTCACTCCGAAGTCGTCGAAATCCAACGCTTGGGCAGTGACTTGCAGCATCATAAACCAATGAAAAAAGGCGTCTTTTAATGTCAACATGATACATGGCTGGTTGCTGTTATAGTTTAACGGTGCCTGGTGGTGTCAGGGGGAAATGCAATGGGAAAAGGACGAAAGTTAAGACAGTGAAAATCCAACTGTGGGCGAGCAGGTCCAACAACTACCGACTTTCACCCGCGAGAGTGGTGTTCGCATCCCGTAAGATTCTAATGCCAAACCGTGTTTTTGTTGTCTAAACCCAATCGTGCTGTTGTTAGGAAAAAAACGTCAATTTGCGGTGTTGTACCGACATATTGCGTTTATTTTGAAAGAGACTGTATGTAAACGTTAAATTTCCTGTGAAAATAGAAGTGTACTTTGAAAGAAGACAATGCAAGTAACAGGCAGAACTTGACATGGTGTCCCAGAGCGTCAACAACCAACGCACCCAGGATACCTTTCACATCATATGTGGACGTGAAAAGTCCATGACCAAAACGTCAATATGTGACGAGGTTGGAGTGAGAATGTGTTGACACAAACAATTACAACAATGTGGACTATAGTTTTGTTTACGCTGTATCAGCACCGCTTGGTCTAATGACTACATTTAAAGGTCCAGAGTGTAGGATTTAGGGGGATATATTGGCATAAATATAACATAATATAATAAGTATGTTTTCTTGGGTGTATAATCACCTGAACATAAGAACTGTCGTTTTTTATTACCTTAGAATGAGCTGCTTTCATAGAAAAAAGGTTAGCACAGATTAGCAGGTGCTGGGCTAGACCGGTTTAAATCACCAGGGCTTTCATTGATAAAACAATGCGTAGGATCCATACATCCAAAATGTAGGTATGGACAAAAGCCAAAAAAATGGCATGTGTCAAAAAATATTTGACAATTTCTACAATCAGGCTTCCACCTCATTATCTGCATCTCTAATTTCCCATCTCCAGAATGTTTGTAAGCGTGAGCCAACGTTCCTCCCATCAAGTCTGTTTTTATAAATCACAACTTTTGCGTCAAAAGTGGCGTATGCCTCTTTCAGGCAATGTTTTGTGGGTACGCAGTGTTTATAGATGAGACCCCATGTCTGTTTGTTGTGGAGACAGAGAGCAGATAAGTCAGCTCCTGGCAAAAACCTCCTGAACAATGTATAGTAAAATAAGTTTCAGCTTGTTGCTGTTCCCAGTTCTCATCATAAGATGCCACTTAATCCCCCCATATCTTACACACTGTTCCTTTAAACTTAGACCTGCTGCACCACTTGACGGACTCGTCAGACAGAGCTGTCTGCTGTACCCAAAGTTATCTGGTCCGCCAGAAATTCTGGTTTTTGCTCATCAGGCCTGCTCAAACCAACAGAAGGTGGGACAATTTCTAGATTGGGAGGGTTGTTGATGAGGAGTGGAAGGAAAACTTCCGCATGTCCAAAGCATCACTCCTATTGTTGAGTGAGTTCCTTGCTCCTTATATCGTAGGGGAATCAACGGTAATGAGCTCACCAGTTGTTGTGAGAAAGGTAACCGTAACTCCGTGCACTTCACTATATTCGCAACAGAAGAAGACTGTAGAGGACAACTTACGACGGCAAGCGTTTCCAGTCGTTTCTGCATTGTAGTGCGTATGAAGATATTCTAAAATGAAGGTCATGTGGACAGATTTGTGTTTTAACAGAGGAGGAAAATATCTGCTTTAAAATTATCTGTATATGTGTGGACATGGCCTTGGAGAGAGCGTGTGTGTGTGCGTGTGTTTAAATTGACTTAAAACATGTTTTTTAGTTGTTCATAAGGCTACATGTTCTGAATCTGCTCGACTGTCACGTTAGAGCAGCAGGTTTGGACCGAACTTCACATTCCAGTCCGAGGCACGTACAAAAATAGAGTGTGCACTTAAATATATACAATACATTGATAAATACAGTATAACAAACAAATGTTGTAGTTCATAAAAATACAAAATCAACCTTTCAAAAAGGATTACTTGTGCGAAAGTTGCAACAACAGTAATGTCATATGCAAAGAGATAAACCGAAAACAAATACTGTCTGAGGAAGGAGAGACTACTTTGGGACTTATTTGCCCTACCAAGTCATCTTCACTGTTTCTAAAACCCCCTCCTGTATTTCCACTGTATCCCACCTCCCCCTCCTATCGGGAGGAAAATTGTTCAGAACCAGGATCAATCTTAGAGTAGATGCTTTCACGTCTGACACACAGGGTGCTTTTTAAAAGGCCTGCTTTTCACCCCGTCCCCCGCAGAGAAGTGAAAAGGTAATTGCTGCGAATGCTAAACTTACACCTTGTTATGATTGCCTTTCAACCGTTCTTTATGTTTTTTTTTTCCCTTTCATTTTTGCGGTATGCCAAAATGCTGCAGAATGCAGGAGTCAAGAAGGCAGTGCAGAGAGGGGAAATCGTTTTAAGACCTTTGGGACGCAGCAGATGCCTTTAACATTAGGAGGATATTTAGAGCCGCTCCTCTCCCGCTCCTCTCTCATGGTAGTATTGCAGGGAGCTGCAGCCCTGCTCAGTATGTGTGTGTGTGTGTGTCTTTAGGATATTAAATAGTAAAGGATGGGGATTAATAATGGAACCTGACAGCTCATCTCCGCCTTCTATCTGCCTGACTGTCCCCCCAATCTTCCCTTCCATTCCCTCCCTACCTCTTGTTCCTGCCTCTCAGTTTCTAATCCGCTGCGTCTCTCTCTGGCTGTGACCCTCCTTCGTGCTCCTTCCCTCCAGCTCTTTTGTCTCTCCCTCTCTCTGTCCCTCCCTCTCTCAGGGCCCTCGGTCTTTCAGGGTCATGTCAGGAGAGTAGAAGAGCACGTTGGTGTCATCCTCGTCGTCATCGCTGAGGTCGACCAGGTCAGCCTGTGTGTAGCGCACCGCCCCGGGGTGGTACTCTCCAATCCGAGTCTTGTCACACAGCCGCGACTGCAGAGCCAGCTAGAAAACAGAAACACACACACAGTTTGAAATTAAGACACTCTGTTTGTACTGGTGTAAAGAGCACACAAAGCCGGCTAAGATTTAGGAAGCATCTTTTACTCTTTGTTCTGGCCATCCATTCACAATAAGCTACTGTGTTAAGGCTCTGACAGACAAAGATAGTGGTCAGCAGTCGGTCACTGTTGGGCCATCGATGAGCATCTGTTGCTCTAATCAGTGCGATGTTACCCGCACCATTGTCCTCCATCGGCCCCCATCAGCTTTTCTTTTGGTCGAATCAGCATATTGAATCATTGATGGCAGAGCCGGTCAGTTATTTTTCTTTAGCCACTGAGCTCTTGAAATGTTTCATGATGGTTTGTGTTATTGTTCACTGGCGCTCGGTAAATATGCTTTGTCCTTTCATCACTGGAGATTGTGCTGTTAATGAGCTAACTGGCTAACTAGCGTCAAGACAGTCTCTGGTTTCTCGTTTTGAATGACGAAATACAGACTACTGCCATCTGCCGGTGTGAAGTGTTATTTCCTCTCGCACAGGCGCAGAACGTATGTGCTGTTTGGCTGTTGGCTGTAGTCTTTGCGGTGTGTTCATGTGCAACTTCTTGGTTGAAACACAGGCAACTTCAGCCGATGCAACAGTCGGCTTTCGTTGCCACTAGTTCTCTGGAGTCGGTTTGGTGTTTCTGAGCCTTTACACACTCAAAAACAGTCTCCTGGGTTGATAAAAATGAAAACAATGGCCATTCACACATGCCAGCGTAAGCTGTAGAGGTAAGACCTTCGAAAAACATCCTGGTGCTGCACACCACAATTTAAGACTGTCTGTTCACCATTTTAAATGAATGCGCCGGCTAAATTGTGTTAGCCTGAACCTAAAATAGGATGGTGACAATGACATGGCTTTATAGTTAGCTAGTCTTGTTGTTAAACATAGTGTCAAATACCATTCACTGTTTTTTCAACTGAATGCAGTGCCATTTACTTTGAATCTTGCTAGCTTAACATTACAGTATCTCACATAAGTCAGTACACCCCTCCAATTTTTGCAAATATTTCATTATATCTTTTCATGGGACAACACTATAGAAATGACACTTTGATATAACTTAAAGTAGTCAGTGTACAGCTTGTATAGTAGTATAGATTTACCTTCCCCTGAAAATTACTCAAAACACAGCCATCAACATCTAAACAGCTGGCAACATAAGTGAGTACACCCCACAGTGAACATGTCCAAATTGTGCCTAAAGTGTCAATATTTTATGTGCCAACCATTATTATCTAGCACTGCCTTAACCCTTTTGGGCATGGAATTCACCAGAGCTCACAGGTTGCTTCAGGAATCCTCTCCCACTCCTCCATGATGATATCATGGAGCAGATGGATGTGAGGACACCTTGCGCTACCCCAACTTCAGCTTGAGGATGCCCCACAGGTGCACAGGTGAGTTTAGGGCTGGATACATACTTGGCCAGTCCATCACCTTTACCTTCAGCTTCCTCAGCAAGGCGGTTGTCATCTATGTTTATATCAAAGTGTCATTTCTATAGTGTTGTCCCATGACAAGATATAATGAAATATTTGCAAAAATGGGAGGGGTGTATTCACTTATGTGAGTTACTGTAGCTTTCTGGCTCATAGCTGAGCCAAAGGATTCTAAGTGTGGATGTATTAAAAGTACTGAACGCAACGTTGAAACGCGGGGACCCGCTCATTCCTGTGAAAGTTGCTCAATGCGCATGACACCAAAAAAGACACTGGGGTAAGACTTCCCCAGTGTAAAATTATCTGGATCTTCCACATCATAGAGCAAGTGCACAAGCGGCTAACTCTCCCGGCCAAGCTGGCTACTTCAGCTTAGCGCTCTGCTAACTTGAATGGGGATAAAACTCATTCAATCGTGCGGCTCTTCTAGACTTTAGAAATGTTATTGGACCAAATTGATTAAATCCTGATAGTGAAACGAGTCATTTTGGGAGGTTGTGGTGCTCAAAAAATGTGCCCACTGACTTACAGTTCCCCCCTGAACAATGTACGTCTATGGGAAAAAGTCTGTTTGAGCCCCATGGCATCACATGACAAACCCAGAAGTTGTAGTTACACAGTTTGGCCACTACGTCAAATTGACTTCAAAGCTCTGTGCACTTCCTGGGGGCCTGGTTCTATGAGTTGAGTGGACTAGAAATATTTCCTAAGTCGTACTAAGTGTTCATCCTATTTACTGGAGCAGTGAAAAGAACCTTAAGGGATAGTAATGATTGCTCCAGCTTTAATGGCCGGTATACACTGTGCAATTTTGGGCTGTTCCAGAAGAAAGATGACCATCGTGGGAGAAACGTGGCGATATCTTTGGTCGTGGCTCTAAAACGGTGGTCTTAAGTCGCACTGTGAGACATGTTCAAGGATGGCCGTTGACAACGTCTTGCGACCAAAGATAACCTGAGATAAAATTCTGACAGTGTCAGAAATTTAGGATGACTATCTCACAATGTGACAGCTGCTACGACATACGTCTACTAATCAACCAATAGAAATGCAGCATGAAATGACACAATGGTCACCGCAACACTGGGGCTAAACCCAAACAAATGATCGCTTGCCATGGAGGTAAAACGAACAAACAGAAGTCTGTGGAACTCCCAGAAAGAGCAAAGTTTGGTGGAGCTGTGGCAGCAGAAGCCTTGTTTATTTGATGTTTCCTCCAGTTGCTATCATGACCGCGAGAAAAAAGACGCTGCATGGAAGGAAATTGCGTCGGAACTGCAACTTCCAGGTGAGCAAGCAACCTATGGTGGCACAGATGGATGACGTATGCTGATGCAGTGCACGCTGATGACGTTGCATATTGACGTACGTCGTAACCTGTGATTCAGTAGTAAATGGCCATCGTACAATCTGCACACATCAAACTTGACGTCGTACCAAAGTTTATTTGATCCACGTCTCACAGTGTGTCATGCAATAGTCTTATAAGATTGCTAAAATCGCACAGTGTATAGAGGGCATAAGGTAAACCCTCAGGTGTTCCAGGGGAAACCAGATTATGGCTTTGTGAAAAAGTTTAAATTTTGATTGCAAAACACATGAAAATATACATTATTGGTCTTCATTTCTTTTCTTTGGCAAGTGTCCATTGTCTAAGCGGGATAATGCCCTTTGATGTGTCCATAATCAGGAATTAATGACCTTCCCTTCACCCATTAATGCCTGATAATGGACACCTCGTCAGGCATTATCCCTTACATATAGGTGATCGTCACAGAGAGCAAAAGAGGGCAGAGTGTTTAAAGTAAAGCCGAGATTCAGCAGATTAACAAGGCTGTGTTTCTTACTCCTCAATACATGATGGCTGTGACACACAGTTTTGATGTTTACTGGCTGGGCAACAAAGACGAGATCTGTACACAAATTGTTTCTTCACACATAAACAGCATTTTTAAAATTAGCTGGCTGAGTGTGGACGTACTCTTAAGATTGCAGCGATACCGAGACATATGGGGATTGCTTTTTCCTACATACACACAGAAGAGTAAGAAGAAGGAGAAGTGAGAGGTGAGCTCATTGCAGAGCCACAGGCGGTTCAAGCTGTATGGCTAGAATGCAGATCAATATCAGGGAAGGAAAGAGTGAAAGAGGGGGGAGAGAGGGAGAGTACACAGGTGGGAGGGAGATGCTACACAAAGGAGAGCAGCAGAAATAATGTAAGAGAGATAAATGCCAGAGATGCTGTAACAGGGTACGGTGAACAGAAGAGGCATGGGAACAGACACACATACAGTGCAGAGAGATAGAGATAGGCAGAGAGAGGGAGAAGAGACAAAGACTGCTGCGGAAGAAAAGAAAAACAACAACAGAGGACGAGATAAAGGAAAAGATAGGATAAGAGACAGAGAGGCAGTTTACATGCACACAAGAAACCAGTTTACTGACAAATCTGGTTAGGTTAATTAGTCGACACATTTATGTTCACTGCAGTAACCTGATTATTGTAAATCTATGTATACATGCAGCAGGTCAGTAATCAGAAGAGGCTGTGTAAGTTCAGTCAAAGTTTGAGTTGCACACTCTCCAGACTGCTAAAGGCTTTTCAGCACAGCAGCAAGAGGGAATGGGTAACCCTGGTTTGCTTTAAATTCTCACAATTCAATTTTCAATTCAATAAAAAGAAAGAGAGCATTATTTTTAGACTCTTTCTCCAAACCATTCACTCATGTTTGTAGTCGGCTGAATTGCAGTATGAAACATAACTGGCAGTTAAGTAAGTGAACTGGTCTTTGAGAAGGTCACTGTCTGACCAAACTGAAAAAGCAGAGACAAGTGTGTGGGAGTATAAAGCTTTTTTCATGTGGAAAAGTCAACTGCAATAATTTGGAAGCACGTTGCAGTCTTCTGTGTGAATGAGAATAATGAGATGGGAGGGTTTTTTACTGATTACCACCACCGGCTTCAGTGTTTATGTTCTTTTCTGTGCTCTGGAGTCAGACTGCTCTGCTGTGCTGTTATTAACATTATATCTCCATTGGTGGAAAACACTCTGGGTGTTGGTACTGCTTTGTTTTGCACTAACCAATCGTAGCGCATGATTTATTCATCCCGTCAGTGTCATTTTCAGTTGACATGGAAGCTACTTTTCACAGTTTTTTAAAAAAATATAGGTATTTAGGTCATTTTTATAGGTCTAATCGAACCTGTACAGCTACATCACAATTTTTCTGCTGCAATTTTTTGTGAATGTTAGTAGTTAGCTAACTATAGTCCTGTTTCCATCAAACACCTTGGTCCCATTTCCATCAAGAAGTATAGTACAGTTCAGCTCAGTACGCATTTTTTTCCGTTTCCACTATGAAAAGTTGTGGATGGTACCAATGGAACTGTTCTGTACCGTCCCCATTTTTGGTCCCCCCTCTGTTGGGGTACCTAGCACACAGATCTGGTACTAAAAGGTGGAGCTGTGAACACTGCAGTCTGTTGATTGGTCAATAGAGGACGGTCACTCT